TTTCACCCTTCTTCCTCCCAATCAAAGTAATCAAATCCCCCCCCCCCCACCAAACCAGCAAAAGTCAAAGAGCGCGACGCTCTTCAACCCCAATGAACCGCCTAAGTATCAGCCCCAGTACACCCGATTGTTATTTCACAGGTGTGGCCGATACCCCAGCGTCACTGTCCGATTCGAAGCCCCCCGAATGCGAGTAGAGAGGCGGGCAATCATTTATTCGGAAATGAGTGAACCCTACCGCTGCGCCAGCGAGACGTTGGGGGTGCTTGTGGTGGGAGAGGTGAATTTGGGGAATATATGGGAGATGTGGGGTGGGGTTGGGAAGGGGATGGGGATAGGGCGGCGACTTTTGGGTTATATTAGAGAGGGGGGGAGAGGAGAGGAAGGGGACAGAGATAGGGCGGCGGGCGGCGGGCGGCGGGCGGTGAGGAGGTAATGGTGAGTTGGGTTTTGGGGCTTGTGGTTTGCACAGATGGATGGGTTCTAGGGAAGTGAACGACTTAGGGGTCATGAAGTGGGTAATTGTCTCTTTTAATTTGCAAGCACGGCATTGGCTCAGGTTCAAAAGGAGGGTGTTGAATATGCCTTGTCATTGATGAATTTACGAAACACGAAACACTACATCGTACCACGTATCGAACATAACGCCTGTGAATACACGTTCAAGTCACATAAGAGCACAACAAGAACACCAAGTCCACTGTAAGAACGAATCAATAAATTCTTCATCTAAGATATACATCCCTAACCTCATACCCAAATCAAAACTCCTCATCACTCGGCACCCAAATAAGTAATCCCTCCTTATCACTCTTCATTCCCTCTGTCGGCGCAATCTTCAACACCTTTTGAAAATACCTATCTCTAATCACACACGTAATAGGACCAATCCATTCCCCTCTAGCTGTCGGCAATAATCTAAATTTGACCGTTCTTCTCGAAAGCGGCACTAATTGCAGCGTACTCTGTTTGACTCCTGAAAATGCAAATTGTTCACTAGGATCCATTGTAATTGCGAATGAGAGAAAGTGATGTGAAGGGTTTTCGATCGTGACGTCGAAGTGTATCATAGATGGGATAGTCGAAGAATAAGTTACTGCAGCTAGGACTCTTGGTTCGCTACTTGAGACGAGCAGTCTCGGGACAGGTACTATACATGTATTTGTAGTGGATCCATCTTTATTTCTACGCCATCTAATGACGAGAGATAAGTCAAGAGTGGCTGTGCCTCGATCATCCAATGAGTATTTTTGCGTAAAAGTATCGAATTGAGCTTCTTCGAGTTCATTAGGACTAATTCTTATGCCGCCTTCGGGTATTGTGGTTAGTCTCTTTGTGGAACATTTGATGGCACCTTGTAAACCGAGTATATCAACGTCAATATCTTCGACGATTACGTCTTCTGTTGCGAATGAAGCAAAGCGAGTTGTTAGACACCATTTTTGTGCCAATCCAAAGGCTTCACGATCATTGTCTTGTCCATCTTGACTGGTTTCCAATGGCTCTTCATGTGTAAAGAAGCTCGGCCAGGAGTCTGGATGAATTCGTGGAGAGAAATCATAGTTAGCCTCAAAGGGGTTAAAGATTGAAAGTTGTGCTGACATGGCCTGTGAGATAGGTGTTTCCAAATCTGTCACGAGATTGTATGAAGCTTTAAGACTTAGATCATAGACCGCTGGCAGATCTGTTGATGAGATGATCATTTCTACTGTGATAGAAGAGCCACTGGCAATAGTGCCTAGTGATAGTTCATGATCATCTTCTTCAGATTCAGTATCACTTGGTGAATTCATCTTATCGAGACGCCGTAAGACAATATTTGATGGAATGTTTTCTCCAAGAAGACGGGCTTCCAGGTCTACAACAGAATCGGTTTCCTCTCCATTTTTCACTTCGAGACGTAGAGAGATGAGTTCATTTGTGTAATACTGCTCTTGGAATTCGAGGATACGTAGTTCCAGCTTAGGTGGTTTTGGAAGTACGTGAATGGATGATGGCCTGGCACGAACAATCTTCTTCTTCATTCCACCTTCCCCATACCACATTTCAGGGAATGATGGCCTGTCAAATGAATGGACATAATCAAAATCGAAAAGCTCCGAGGCAATCGAAAAGGTGACTTTCAGAGCCTTTGCATCACCTGCTTCTCGCAGTAGATTGACAAACTCGAAAGCTTTAACCTGACCAGGACTAAAAGTAAGATCCTCATAGCTTGTCAACGTGTGTCGAGTCGGTGGATCTTCAGGATCATGACCCTTTTTCGCAGTCGATTCGTCAACCAAGGAAGTCTTTCTGAACAAGACGCCAGCTTTCACGGTCTCTGAAGATTCAGTGTTTATTTCATGCCGTAGAAGAATGGGTTTCATACTACCTGTAAACTCTACGCGTATTTCGCTAATGGTTACAGGCGTCGATGAAGCTAAAGCAGAAGACTTGATTGCCAGTTGAGACAATGAATGCTCACCCACTTTCCCTTCAGACTTTTCGAAAGCATATGACGCAGTCAAGAAGGATTGAACTTCTTCGGCATGAAGTACGATAGCGGGCTTCACCTTGACTGTGTTTAGGCCGTCTAAAGACTTTTCGATATTGTAATGCCAGTTCGATTGACGAGCAAAGCCTATGTTAAATGTTAATGAATGATAGAATTTATCTGTCATGATGTACTGACAGGTATGGAGAAGTTCCCAATCCACAGCAACAACTGTGCCTCCATCGCCGACCTTAGCAGCAGCCTTTCTTAAAGTCCATGCAATCTCCTCAACTACAACCCACCACCCCTCATTCCTGTATGTCATTTTCTGCCATAGGGCGCGAAGAATTCGCAATGCATCGTCCCATGCTTCCCTTTTCATATGTTCCTTTCCACATTGAAATAGGAGCTCCTGCACTAGACGGTGTTGTCCTCTCGCCTGAAATTCAGTAATGGCTTTGTTCAAGACGTCAATTATAAGACTTGCATGATCAACGCCTGTCCGACCTGGTAAAGGATTTTCCTCATGAGGTTGAGGGCAAAGATATGTATCATAAGTATAAACTCTACTCGCAATTTGTGAAGCGGGGGATGATCCAGGCGGAGACCTATCTTCCTCTGGTATTGCTAAAGCAAGAGCTCGACGAGCCATTAAATGTTTCGAAGCCTCGCGATACCAATAACCTGGATGATGGAGGTTCTCCCATGGTTGCACCCCACTTGAGGTAACTTTGTCAAGTGGTAAATATATGGTCGAGTTAGATTGAGTAAAATCCGTGAAGTTGACTTTCTCAATCATTTCAGCCATGATAGTTGCCCAACGAGCTTCCCATGCCTGCCAGCCATATGTCGATGAACCTTTACCTCTACGATCCACAAAGTTACGTATCCTATCCCGATGTATCTGCCATCTGCGGACTGCAGTTGATGAATGTCCATTCCACAGTAGACAACGCATTATTCTGATTGCGAATACATCGGCGATGAGACGCCCTTCATTAAATCGAGGACTCCATGTAGCAATAGCTTCAAGGACCTCTTCACCCAACAATGCTTCGTAGCCACTTTCATATGAACGAACAGCTACATCCATTTCCTGCCTGAATTCGGCAAAGACTCCAAGCTTAAAGTCATACCTCACATTCCATCCTTGTCCTGTTAATGTTTGTGAAGTTCCTGACGTGGGAGGAGCTGTTGGAGGTGGAACCACGCCTCTATTGCGCTTCCTTCTTGAGTGCTTGCTCAAGTCACGATAATATTCAACACAAAGCGGGTATATAGTAAAATAGATCGTATCGACAAATGCTTCAATTTCAACAGAGGAGCTTTGTGGAGGTAAGAAAAATAAGGAAGTTTTCGAATCAAGACCAGTTGCTTTACGAATATTAGAAAGACGCTCTTCTACATCAGGAAGTGGCACGCCGGGTGTTTCGCTCAATAATGCAACTATAAGCCTAGTTTTGTAACCCGATTTGTTCAATATATTTTTTATATTGTTGATATCCGTTTTCAGCTGATTATCATGTAAAGTTGCCAAGTTCGGATCAGATGTAAAGCTGTAGAATGCAAGATATGCGCTTGGTACGAGATCTTGGTGTTTGTCTAACCACTTTGTATCCAGCAATCCATCTGGGAAGACCGTTGATCCAGGGGTCAATGGAGATAATGGGGAGTGCAAAATTAGTCTAGAATTAGGGACAGGGCTCCCAGAACCGGGGGAACGCGAGGCATTCGTTGGAGGTGGAGCTTTGCGACTTGGTAATATATAATCCTATGAACCTTCAGTGATTAACTCCAAGAAGAGTGGTCCATCTGTAGCTACCCGTCCAATAACCTTCACTCTGAACTTATTCTTCTCACTATGCTCGTGTCCGTTCCATGGCAGATTTTCCGCGTCACTTTTTTTGAAATACTGTAGAATGAAGTTTGCATCCTCTGATTCCAACGGGGCAACATCAGAAGTGATTAGCACGCCTCCTTCCTTCAATCTGGCATTGGTCGGCGATGGATCAGCTCCCAAACCGGAGACTATGAGCAGTGGTAAATTATGCGCAATATATGGAGTCGCATACCCATCCATCTTGATGGTCTTGTGGTCTCGATAGCTCCATAAGACTACAGATGGAAGTAGCCCAGAATTCGTTGCCAGATAATGTTATTTTGTAAACATAGATTGGTTGATTGTGGAATAGATCATTCGAGCGTGAAGATAGGCAAGGCTGAACTCGACGAATAGCTTGGACCTGAACGCAGCCTCTTGGGATATCACACTATTGATGGAAGAGGATATAGGATAAGACTGTTACTCAAACGTAATATACTGGAGTATCAATTTTCAATGTTTCCATCCTACTGAAGTACACAGCTGGAGGTTCAACCATAGATTACTTACGAAAGGCTGATTATTTTGCGATGCACGGATCATTCTCCAATGTAAGCACCGACATGCCGATTGATGTAGCCTCGTGCTGCACCCTCCTAGTAAGTACAAAGCTTCTTTAGATAACTTTCATCATTCTCGATTTATTTCTATTGTACATTGTAAATTCCTCTCTGCCCATTTCTTGCCCTCCTACCTACGTCTCGATATAAGAAACTTGAAACTCATCTTGTTTCCCATACTTAAGGATAAGTAAACCGGCGCAAACATTCGATTTCCCACAAACTCATTGCGATCAAATACCTGCCATAACAACCCCGTACTCAAGGCACCCCAGATTCAGTTCTTGGATGCTTTTATCGAATGCGAACAATCACGGCATGCTCGTAGGAATTTGAGAATATAGCTGCCATAAAAACATTGTTCTCGTTTACACATCTCGCAAATTGTCACAATGGCTTCGCAAGCTGCTATGATCGCGGATACAATCATTGCTATGAAAAGAGCAGTCAAGAGAAAAGCATATGGTATATACTGGTCTACACTAGAGGAATAAGTTGATCGATATATCTGATATAATTTGGCAGAATCAGATTCCGATGCTTCGATCGAAAGACTTACAAATCGAGGAAACAAATTACGAAAGAGAGCAAGATACGTGCAGCAAGGTCAATTGGCCCCGCCAAATGGTCGACATATATACCGAGAGGTAATCTTTGCACTTTGGGGAGAGTATTTAAAATCTGTGTCTAATGTTTATCTACCAATAGACAATTGATCACGCCGGCTACACGAGAGATATTATTAGTAGGAAACCCCCGCTTTTTGACGAAGACGGCGAGAAGATCGATAGCGACGAAGAAGATGAAGAGAAGATTTCAATCGCGAAAGCAGCAGCAGCAGAATTCGATCCATATGCAAATATAAAACTAGAGGGTTCGTCATTCCAAAGTATTGTTACTTTGGAAGTCTCTTGCTAACTCTTTCGAGTAGAACTCCTTGCACCTTTAACCTCTGTCTCCGATTTACCTGACCATCCAAAATTATCGCAGCCCTTCACATCAAAAGTTCTAACAGAATTAACAAGAAATGCGGGAGAGATGCTTCAGAAAGAAATGGCATCTTTATGGAAGATTAAACATCTCCTAACTCGACTCAGTGGCCATGATACTTGGATGCCGTGTGAAACGGTCGAAACTGAATATGATGCTTCTTTCTTCGAGACAGAAACGGAACGTCGTCGGGCTCAGGTAAAGAGAATTGCAAAACAGCACGCGGATATGATGTCGAGAGTAGCTCTGGCTTCTGACGACGATAGCGTAGCTGCTTCAGGATTGATGATTATGGGTATCGAGAGTGATGCTGCCTCAGGAGTCGCTGCCCTTCAGGCTTTGAAAGGGAAGGGAAGGGCGTTGGATGTTGACAGAGATATGACATCTAACTCGGCAAATGGAGAAATTACCGACACAACTGCCGCGAACGGCACTGGCAACGACTCAGAATTGGCACATGGTTTAACCCCACCGCCAGACAATGTTGAGATGGACCAAGAGGGTTCGCAAGAACCAGGAGACGCAATGGATATCGAGCCAACGGCTGAGGATAATGAAGACGATACGGTCATGAATGCCGTTCCTCGCCGTATGAGGACTCGCGCCCAAGCACAGGCGGTGTTCGACAATGCGACTCGTTCGAGGTCTATCACACCCGATTTGAATGGCGAACCTTTCGTTCATCCTTATTTCTTGGCACCCGAGAACTCGTATCCCGATCGAGATCTTTATCTACCTCATGGAGAGGCTGACGAATTAAGGAGATTATTGGTACACTATATTCAAAAGCAAGAAGAGATTATCCGAGGAGCCCAGAAAGTGTATGACGGATTATTGAGAGCCGATCGTATGCGCCATTTGGTTTTGAAATGGACAAAAGCCGAAGGACATGTCGGTAACAATCGTGATATGTCAGATGGTGAGGATTGGTATGATAAAGACGAATGGGGATTAGATGAAGATTTGAAGAAAGGACAAGATGAAGAAGAGGAAGATGCTGCAACGACAGCCAAGAAAACCAGAACGAGACGACAGTGATCTGACATAGCGAATCATATCATATCATGGGTAACATTGTTTTGGGACAAGGGAAGGAAGGCAGGCGTAATGGGCATGGAGATTGCACGGGAATCCAGGGGATAAACTTACTGTATGAAGATACCATGACCTTGGGGGGGGGATTCATGATGGCGCAATGAGGAAAGATTGCATTATATTATGCATTCTGTATTGAATGCAACAAATGGAGTGAGTAGCACAATATGAACAAATCGAAATTTATAGGGAAATTTAGGTATATTGGTCGGTATGAAATGAAAATTATCTTATTCAAGATTTCATTGGTTATTGTCTTTACATGCAAAACACTTGGTGGTATACCGTACTCGAGTACACCTCTACACATGCTTACTAAGCTTCCCTTTCTGAGGTCACTCTCGTCATGAGAACAGGTAGGGGTACGGAGGTGGGAGGATATTGTACATACATAATGATTTTGTTGAGACTTTCACGTGAAACATTTCCCATGACTTTTTTGACAACCACTTTTATAGAATCTCGTAGAAGACAATCTGTCCATTTCTTTTCTTCTACAATTCCATCTTTTGTAGAATAACCTCAATTATCACATCTCACATCGATTCCTATACACTCTACAACCATGACGAGTTTCCTAGGTAATAACAAAGGTCTGGTCGACTTTGACCAGAAAAGCCTCGCAAGTATGTCAACACGGAACAACCTCAGTAATGGCTTCTTAAAATACTAACCAGATCTTCTAGTTGCGGCAGCATCTATTGCTTTCAATCCTATTTTCTGGAAGTAAGCTACACATTCCTCCCCTCTCTCACAAGAAATGACAAACTAACCCAATCTCTCAGCACTGTCGCTCGTCAAGGTACATTTGAAACAATCCCACTTATAGCCCAAAAGCACCTGTTGATATAATTTCCCAATTTCCAGAATATCATAACAAAGTCCTCACGAAACTCTTCAATGGAAACTCAAGATATGGATGTTACTTCCTCGCCATCACCATCTTCTCCCTCGGGATCTTCCGCGATTTCCTCTATGAACGCGCCCTTCGCTCTCAACCTACTCATCCATTACTACTCTCTCCACTTGTTCACTATGCATCTTATGCACTCCTTCTTGCCGGTAACACACTCGTCTTGAGTTCCATGTGGGCTCTTGGTGTCACGGGTACATATCTTGGTGATTATTTTGGAATCTTGATGGATAAGATGGTGACGGGCTTTCCATTCAATGTCAGTAGTGCACCAATGTATTATGGAAGCACAATGAGTTTCTTGGGTACAGCACTTCTGTGGGGAAAGCCTGCGGGCATCTTACTCACGGTCGAGGTGTTGGTGGTTTATCTTTTGGCACTGAGATTTGAGGATCCATTTACAGCTGAAATTTATGCCAAGCGGGAAAGAGAGAGAAGTGGGAAGAAGGGTAAGAAGGGGTTGTGAACGATTCGTGGGGGTCGCGAGAGACAAGTTGTACAGGTGTGAACGGACATGAGAGAGTGCGGGGAATTAAGGTGTGAAACCGGGGAAGTGTGGGTGCGGGGTAGCAAGTGGCATGGGGTAGCGAAGGTAGATCATGGTGATGGCTAAGAGAGACAAAGTATTTTGCTATTTAAAGAACACAGAGCTGAGCGTTTATCTTTCAGATCAGGGGCTTATTTTACGGGTACGGATTGATGATTGAATGGAGCATTTACATTCAGAAAATGGGTTATCAAAAACGGGGTTCAACAATGGACAGGAATGGTTGGCATAGATATCAACTACTTTGCATCAAAAGGATTTTATGGTAGGAAACAAGAACACGGTGTACATAATTAAGATCGTTATATCCCTCTTTATATTTATTATATCTCGTCTATATTCTATTGTTCGGTGGGACACCGAGGGGGGGTAGGTTTTTATATCTTTTTCCTATCTACTTCATTCAATTAGACACAGATACAGGCGCATCGCATGGTCTTAGCATAGCTATATAGATCGAATCGATTATGAATTTACTACTACTACTATTCTATTGTTGGCTGTTCATTCCTGGTTGTTGACTTCGCATTCCTCACTCATAAACATCACTAAGTCAATCTATCAGCAACTACTTAAATATATCGCAAAACACTAAGGATACTTACGTCCTAGCCACCAACGGCATCTTTTCCCTCGCTTCCCTCACTTTCGCCAAATTAATCCTCGCAATTCCCAACTTTCCTCCCGCAAGAGTGCTCTCTCCTCCTTTCACATCACCCGCACCTCCCATATCCAATACAACCCTCCCCAGCGGATCTATAACCATACTATGTCCGTAACTTTCCCGTTTAGCATTGTGAGAACCGACTTGCGCGGCGGCGATGACGTAAGATTGGGTTTCTATTGCTCGAGCGCGGAGAAGAGTTTCCCAATGTAAGAGGCCGGTGGGAATGGTGAAGGCGGAGGGGTAGGTAAGGATCTGGGTGTTTCGGGTGCGGAGATGGAGGGAGGCAGTGGGGAAGCGGAGCTATGGGTTGGTGAGGGGTGTTAATTTGGGGTTTACGTGGAAGGGGGAGGAGATTTGAATGTTGCATGACTTAAGAAAGGGGGGGATGACCAGGAGGAGTAAAAGAACCGAGAATTGGAAAGAAACAAGAGCCAATATAGTATCGTAGACCGTTTCACAGAAATATCAACTATGATATCTCTCTTTCTGATCCTTCACTCAAAATCGTACAAACTCAACTCCACATAACAACCAAGAAAAGCATGACTCACATCAAAACAAATCAACAATCCCACTTTCCCTACACACGTCTCAACTGGTCCTCCAATCGTCTTTCCAGCTTCCACACTGTCACTTTCCTTCAACCCCGCAGCTGCATAATCAAAAAGATGGACTTTATCATATTGACCTGTTATTTCTCCAGACTCGGAAATCCAGATCGATCGATTGAGGACCTTGTTTCCAGAAGCGTTTGGGACGTGGATTCCGACGTTTATGGCTAGGGAATATTTCTTGGCGGATGACTGGAGACCAAGAACGAAGGGGGATGTATTCATAGGGAGAGCGAGAGAGAGGGAGGTGGGTGGTGAGCCTGGGGTGGTTATGTAGTCTGTAGCTTCGGGGAGGAAGAGTGCCTAGGGTTGATGTGATGTGAGCTGAGATGATGGATATTGAGAATTGAGATTTGAGATTTGTGTATTTGGATTGGGGCAAAGGAAAGGAAGAAACAAACTTTTGCTCCTTGCTCTGAGGCTTCTTTGGCAAGTTTTTGACACGTAAGAAGATTCTGTTCAATGTCTGCTGTGGAACATAATTGTCCTATCCCCTGAGAAGAGTTAGTTGTGTTTTTATGTGAATGGGGGTGATATCTTACAATGATAGTTTCTGGATTTTGATCTTGATCCATTTTGAAGGGTTTCTTTGGATGATCAAGAGAGGGATTGGAAGATGATCTGGTATTCTTGAGAAAAGATACTCTGGAAGTGTGACTTGATATTGAAATTGATATTGGTCGATACTGCTGACAAACGATGAAGCATCTGATGGGATGGAAACGGAGTTTGGCCAGGACGGGAAAGTGGGATTGTGATTTCAGATGAAACATAATTCACCTCAGCAATTGTCATCTAAATACATTGGACCATTATATATATATGGATATATATATAGATATAGATATAGATATAGATAATATCAGTATTCCATCTCAGTAATCGAGAGATTCAAATCTAATATCTCACTTTATATCCTCTTCGGAATTCCGAAAAAAATGACGTCCATCAAAGAAATCAAAGCACCCGATCTTTTAACGAAACATTTTTTGAACAACCCCGAAAACTCTCCACTCTCACAATACTGCAACCTGACGTGAGCAACTTTTGGATTCATAAAAGAATCCAATTCCTTCATCAATTAGCAACCGAAATGCCATTATAAATTTAGCAAAGCGAAATGTCAAATGGAGGAAATGCTGGGAAAAAATCCTCGTCTTGTATGTATTTCTCTAGCTAGGAGATATTTGCCCCGCCACTTCGAGTATATTTTACCTACAGACCAGTTCAATTCAATCTAATTCACTCCGGTAAGAATGCAAAACTAACATCATGTTCCTCGTCCAGATTTCCACTTCGGAGCAGGATTAGGATCAGGAATTCTCTCCGCCGTTCTCCTCCAACCCGCCGATCTTCTCAAAACCCGTGTGCAACAAAGTAACCATGCCTCTCTCTACACCACCATTCGCGAGCTCTCGCAGTCACCCAATAGCATTCTGTCTTTCTGGCGGGGGACCGTTCCCTCGGCTCTACGCACCGGATTCGGTTCCGCGATATACTTCACCAGTTTAAATGCGCTGCGACAGAATGTCGCAAGATCGAATCTCCTCCGGACGATTGGGGTCGTGGATCAGAAGACCATGGTACATTCATCCAGTCTACCCAAGTTATCGAATCTAGCGAATTTGACCACGGGGGCGGTGGCGAGAGCTGGAGCGGGGTTTATTCTCATGCCTATGACCATTATTAAAGTAAGATATGAATCGAATTTATATGCGTACAAATCGATCGTGGGTGCCGGACGAGATATATTCCTCACTGAAGGATTTCGAGGATTCTTTTCTGGGTTCGGAGCCACGGCGATTAGGGATGCGCCGTATGCGGGATTGTATGTGTTGTTTTATGAAGAGTTGAAGAAGAGATTGAGTCAGATTGTACATTCGTCGCCTCAAGTGGAGGGATTGGCTGAGAAGGTGGATTTGGGGCTGAGTAAAAATATGAAGGGGAGTACAAGCGCTTCGATCAATTTTGGATCGGGAGTATTGGCAGCAGGGCTGGCGACGGCGATTACGAATCCTTTTGATGCGATTAAAACGAGGATTCAGTTGCAGCCGAAGAAATATACAAATCTGATTATGGCGGGGAAGAAGATGGTGGTGGAAGAGGGGGTAAAGAGTCTTTTTGATGGATTGGGATTGAGAATGGGGAGAAAGGCTGTTAGTTCTGCCTTGGCTTGGACCATTTATGAAGAGCTTATTAGAAGGGCCGAGTCGGTTTTGAAGGGGGAGAAAGAGTTGGTTGTTTGATGATGGAGGAGAGAAATGTGGAGGGGTATAGACGGACTCGCTACTCACATCCTTTGACTTGACTTGTATAACACTAATTTTCAATACTCCTATAAAAATCGGAGTCATGATACTAACATTACTTCTGCATGTTTTGCTTGATTGTTTTTTATTATAGGGAAGAAATTATCGTTGTTAACGATCATGTCGTGGGTATTGAAGCTCAGTACATAACATATAAAAAAGAGATGAGAGTTCATCTGAGAAAAAAAGTTCAAGAAAATCGTGAAAGCAAAACGGACTCATTAACCAATCCACTCCATGTATTCATCAATCATCTTTCTTCATCATTCTTCATCCAAGCATCACGCCGTCCATTTCTTATTCCACACCCCCTTCACATTTCCCTCCCCTTCCATCTTACCTCCCAGCCGCCCACCTAACAAAAGGGCTCGGACTCCTACTCCCACTATGACTATGACTATGCTTATGCTTCCTCTCGATCACCAATTGCAAGTCATCACCCTTGTGATGATGTTTCTTCTTGTGGCGATCTTCAACGACATATTCTTTAACGTACTCGATGGTGTGTTGTTGATTGTGGGTGTGGGGTGGAGCACGTGTTTCGCGCAGTTGACGGGTGTGGGTCCAGAGGATGTCTTGTTCGTCTTCGGGAACCCAGCGTTTGATGAGAAGGAATTCGGGGTCCTGTTTGGAGGAAGGGGGGTTAGTAGATTATGTGGGTTGGGGGAGGGAATGGGGGAAGAGATAGATGCAAGGGAAAGGATAGAAGAAGGGGGAAGCACCTCTTTATCAAATTCATACGAAATTCCATAAACCCTCAAAGTCTCAATCGACAAATGTTTCCTCGACATTCTCGTATACGTTGGTCTCGGAGCCGCAGGTTGGATTTGATATTGCGGAGGATGTTGATGTTGAACTGGTGGCGGCGGAGGCATCTGGACTTGTGGAGGCGGGAGAGCCTTCCCCGCTTTCACCGCTCCGATTTGCTGTTCGTTCAAACCCGCTTTATGCAGATCTTCATGCAGACGTCTCTGGTATTCCTTTTCTCTCTCTTCCCTCTCGTGTCTCTCACGAGCCAAACGATCCGCTTCCTGCTTCTTAAACTTCTCGATAATCTCTTCACGTTCTTTGCGTTCGCGAGCCGCCTTCTCAGCTTCTTCCCGCTTATACTTCTCAATAGCTTCATCGCGTTCTTTTTTCTCGCGCGCGTGTCGCTCCTGTTCCATTCGCTTCATACGCTCGTATGTATCTCGAATTTCCTTATCCGCCCGCTCCCTCTCTTCCTGCGTGCGCTTCTCCTTCTCCACGCGCTTCTTCTCCTCCTTGAGAGAAAGCAATTCGAATTCTTCCCGTAACATGCGTTCTTTCTTCTCCATCTCTTTCTCCGAGCGAATGCGCTCTAGTTCTCCTTTCGTCACGCGTAGCTCCACATCTTCTCTCAATAACCTCTCGTTTCTCTCCCTTTCACTCTCCGCTCTATATCTCGCCAACTCCCCCCCATCCCGTACCAATCTCTCACTGCGCTCCCTCTCCTTCTCCAACCTAATCCTCTCGAGCTCCGCGCGCGTCCTCTCCAGTTCAAAATCATCGCGCGTGAAGCTCGGTCGGCCAGAGGACGACGGACTATGACTGTGCGAAAGACTCACATGACGACTGTGGCTGCGACTGTGATATTTTCGACGTCCTCCTACTTCCCCCACGCTTAAGCGACCGCGCGCGCGTCGCGATTCGTACGCGGATGAGGAGTCGCTGTCACTGTCATAGTCGTTGTAGATGCGGCGGGAATTATCGACGATGATGGGTTGAGCGATGGGAGCGGGGACGACGGGGGGAGGAGGAGGAATGGGAGAGCGTTCCCGATGGCCGGTTGATCTGGAGCGGCGGATTCCAGAGGAGATCTCGGGAGTGAGATAGGTGGTCGTGCCGTAGCGGTAGGCGGGGACGGGTGGGTATTGTGGACGTCGGTAGGGGATGGGGGCGGAGGGGTCGCGGGGCCGTGTTTCGCGGGAGATGTGAATGTCGAGTTCTTCGTCGTCGTAGTAGTGGCGGGCCATTATTTTTGGGGTACTTTCTCTCTTTTTTATTTATTTATTTAAGAAAAGAGAAGAGAAATTGGAGTTAAAAGAAAAGAAAAGAGAATTCTCTTGATAGGGAGACAATACTCGAAAAAGTAAGTCGCTATATATGCAATGCAGTTTTCGAGAGTGATTTGAATTTGGATAGATAGGCTACTTAGTTGGTTGGTTGGTTGGTCGATCGGTCTGACCCCGCGATGAAGCAAGCGACCGAGGGGTTGGGATATATTGATTGCGACGTTGAGATGGGATGAAATGGTGCGATAAGCTTTTTCAAGACGGGTCTAGTTCTTGCTTTGTCCTTCAAGCTTCAAATAGAGCTTTTCGTTTGGGGATTCTCAGTAGGTGGGATATCCCACTGTGTGATTTTGAAGTTTGGACTGAGATACTGGATGCTGGATACCTAGACAGTATATTAAGAGAAGTAAGAAAAGAAAGAAGAAAGGAAGTAGTCGTAGGCAGGAAAGACAGGGAAAGAAATCAAGCAGGTGTATTGTCAGCAGGAATGGGCATGGGCTTATTTAAGAGATGGTTATTGGATTGGATTTTGGGAATTATCTGCATCTGCATTTATTTAAGGTGTGTAGGTAGCTAGGTGTGGTTGGAAATCCCCCTCACTTCCCTCCGAGGAGCGGCTGAATGACTGACTGACTGACTGACTGACCGATTTACTTGGATTTGGATTTGAACTTGTGGTTGTAGTTGCCTGTCCCTAGTATTTATTTTGTGTATTACTGGGCTGTTGTATGAACCTAGTCTCTATCTTTGAATCATTTGTGAGTATGGAGTATTGAGTATTGAGCATTAATTACAGATAGATGAATGACCACGACGGATTTATAGAATATCCCGAGTTTCTCCCAAATATACACACATACCATCGTTCCAACAGAGCAATTCTCACTCCAGTCACTTATCCATGTCCTCATGTACGTACAGCCCTAACGGTAATAGTGGGGACGCCATCGCACTACTGCATCTTTGAAGTCAATGATATGCAGCTAAGCAACTAACCATCGAATCCCATTTAGCTTTCGTAAAGTGATCCTATGGTGATGAGGAGTTGGTGGGTAGGGATACACGATATGCTTGGTATTTAGGGTGTTGGGAGAGAAGTAGGTACCAGTGCTCATCCTAATGTCAATGCTGATGCTTGATGTGAGATTGGATTAGGCTCATTGTAAAGTTGTAACACTATGATTGAGGAGTTAGACTTTGATCACTTGAGGCTCTGGAGGATATTTCCCCACTGTAATGTAACCGAACGTTGGAAAAGGGTTTTAGGTTTTATGTGGAATCGTGGTTTGTTGGTTTGTGACGAATCTTGTATGAAGGGAAGGTAAAGAGTGGGATGGAGGGAAATAGCATGGGAGATAAACGATACACGAATCGCTGGGTTGGTAGTTTCGCGATACGCTATTTGAGATGAGAAGAGATGAGAAGAGATGAGATGAGATGAGATGAGATGAGATGACGATGGTGTAAAGATTGGGCATTCGAAAAAGAGGGATTGGAAAAAGGGGAGGGGTTGGGTTAGCGCTTAGATTTCATTCGCTTGGGCTTTTTAGCCCCCAACTTTGGAGTAGGTAGGACTCCGAGGGAGGAGAGTCGAGTTACATACCTTACTTTCGCATTTTGAATTATTGGATGATGAGTCTTGATGAACGAGTAGGTGGAAATTGGTATAGAAAAGATCGAAAGTTGAGGATGATGTTTGATGGTAGGACCTAGTGCTCGATCTATTTTGAGGGCTGGGTATTTGGCAAGTGCTTGATACCCATCCGTGTATGACAATGCCAACGAATCATAATTATCATAACACAAGTGGTTTTGTGATTTTGTATCATCTATTCACATGACATTGAATATTACCTAGTAGGTGTTTTACCTGTATAAGTTCACAACCTTGTATTACACTTATTCAGGCACTTTCAAAATCACGTCACTCTTGTCTTTCCTCCCAAGTGAAGTGAGAGAGGTTCAGTCATACACCATAGACTATTATTCAATCGGAAGGAAAAGTGTGATATGAAGTTATTGGGCTTGTTTGTTTCTACGGCATGTCTCTAAAGACTCGGGAGTTCATATGACTCCTTCACGCAGCTTATATTCCCCCTCTCCACACCCTCCAATCCCATATCCCACTATCAGTCAGTCAATCATCCATCCCAAGCTATGTCCTTCCAAAGATACTACCCGGCCATTAACAAGAGCCGACTATCATACCGATCACAGCTATTTCATAAACTCTAAATTGCAAATGCCTCGAGAAAGCGTCCAACAAGTATGATGATGCTTTTCATCAAGCACGGCCACCACTTTGAAGAATCCTCGTAATATTCTCCGTACTCTTCTCATACGTCGTTTCTAAATATTGTAATTTCTTGCCCAAATTATCAATATCCGATTTCAAGTCTTTAGTCTCGCGATTTAATCTCTTGTCTACATCAGCTGTAGGGCTGAAAACAAACCTGTCCAATGATTAATGCTTGTTTGTGATATCTGGCGAAGTGATCATGTGTTCCCACAACCGAAAAAGTAAAAAATGACTTGGGATCAGAGGAAGAACGGGTGGAGAGGAAAAGGTTAGAAAGAAACAGGAGTAGAAGGAATATAAATACATTTTACCAACTCCCTCATAGACATTGGTGTCAGGTGGTAACGTGGATACTTCGGTGGATGTGAGTTCGAGTTTACGGATTTCGCGTTGCTTGAGAGAAATTTGCGATTTAACGACACTGATTTGTTGCTCGGCTTGAATGGCTTGAGATTGAATTTCATTGACTAGCTATGGGAGTATTAGTGATGTCCTATTTTGAGTTTGATATAGTAAGATTGGATTGTGGAGGGAACGGGAGGGGAGGAGGCTGGAATGGAATGGAATAGAGAGCCTTCTTGAGTTTTACCTTTTGTAAAGCTTCGTTGGAGATAGACATGTTTGTATAATATGTGTGTGGAAGTGGGTGTCAAAGTGTTGGATTTTAGATGTGTTTGATGCTTCAGACTTTCCCTCAATATATTTGCTTCGTTGAATACTGGTGGTAGCTGTACTGTCTGCTTGCTTCAATATGCGTGGGGAGCGATTTTCAAAATTATCATGTGATTTGCTGATAAGGAGTTGCGATAAGAAAGGCGGTGGAAGTTGAAGTTGAAGGTCGATGGCAGAACAGGTATGTGCTGTGCCGTCAAGCTTCAAGTGATATTACGGAGCCGAGTGAGCGTACATCACACAACATCATTATGTCTTTGCCTCGGTTATTGTACCTCTCTCGTTGATCTGATCCATATTTCTTCGACACACATACCAAAATTTGATCATCTAAAGCTTATATTTCCAAGAAGAGAGCCATTCTAGAGATTCTATCAAAAAGGTAACATGAAGAGCATAGACAACATAGACAGATAAACAGCATAGACAGCATACCTAAGTATATCGTCCGTAGCTCAAAGAGTCGATGCAAACACTACTTGGGGAGATATCACAATAACCATTTTATACCTTGCTTTCCATGGTCGGCGTAGCATTAGCTAGGTAGTAGATCAGGTCTTGTTTTTGAAGAATGCCGGGCTGAAATTTAAGCGAATCTCCTTATCAAAACTATGCTTTATTCTATCTTTTTATGAATATATAACAATTCAAAGATACTCTAAAAAGCTATGAAAATCAATTCGTATATAGATTTTTAATCGATAATCAATTTAATAAAAAAAGACTACATTTGAAACTATAGTCTAAAATTGAATTTTGATTTCGAAAATAAGTATGATTTTATATGTATTAAATACTTATTATAGATTTCAATCAGATTGAAACGATTTATAAGAAACCTGAAGTTATATTATCAAATTCTTTATTAAAATCTACTAGAAGATTTGAGTTATAAATATATATCAATACTGATTAATTTAAAAATGAATTTCAAGTACCATGTATATCGATCTGGAACTTCTCAAAAACACGACCTGGTAGAGAGATATAGATAGACGAAATCGATTCAGAATTTACTACCAGTATTGCCTAGTACTTACTTACTACCTTGCTTTATTTGCTCTCTCTGATTATTGATCAGTTTCCTAGTATATCCTACACATGTAATAATAATACGGAGTATATCTTCCAATAAAGTTAACCTCAACCCTTTCTATCAATTCTACTTCCCGTAGCTTCCGGTCCAGAAAGCTCGAAATCATCGTATTTGATCCACCTTGCTTGGAATGACGATTTGCATTTTTAAGCATTTCTTCACATTCGACAAGGGTCGGCCCTTCACTTCCTAACACACTTCCTTCCGTACCTGGGAAAATAGTACGAAGCAGTGAAGAAAGTCGCCGGTACTTTAATAAGTGTAAAGTCAAAAACATATCCAGTTCCAATGTCTGTGTGCGTATTGGATCAACCTAGTTATTTTCAATCTTTTTGATTGTTCATTGTTGATTTTTTACTATTCAAGATATATTCAGTTTATCATTATTGTCAAATCAAAGACCCCTCCCCCGCCCTTGTGCGATCAACCATTGGATTTTGGATATATATATCCTCTTCACTACGGGCGATCATTACAGACAAACCCCCTCCTCTCTGATTGTCACAATGGGTTTCCATCTCCCATCGATACCATATCCTCCCGCGCGACCAGGAGAAGGTTATTGGGCTCCTGTAACCTCGACCATAAATTGGTGTGAAGGCAATACCTCCCACACTCAGACTTTACTTATTCTCGTCTAACCGTGAATGATAGAGGATTATTATGCGACTATATACTCTGCCGAAATCGTCAATACTCTTACCAACCTACTTTTCATATGGCTGTGCATCAAGGGCAGTCGGAACTGTTTGAAATATGATCATGATGGTGTATTCTTGGTGGCCTTTCTAGGTTATGGAGCTGTAGGAACAGGTGAGCTAGTTGGTTGATCTTGGCCAGAAGTCAAGCTGACATGGCTAAAGGTTCATTCTTGTTTCACTCAACCTTGAAGTGTAAGTCACATCTATCCTATGAAAGGGTTCAATTCTTGACATGATGCCGCTTCAGATCCCATGCAACTTGTAGATGAACTTTCGATGATTTATACTACATGTTTGATGTGTTATGCGACGTTCTCCTTCTCTCGTTCGCGCATCTTCAGGCAAGTATTAGCATTTAGCTTGATATTCCTGTCTGTATTCATAACGGTGAGCATAGTTTCGTCCTCAAGTTCTAAACTCCATGCTAAAACAAGAATCTCAATAGCTTTACTATCATTATCTCCAAGATCCGGATTTCCATCAGAATGCATTTGCGCTTCTCACAGCTACCGTGTTATTCCGTTCCATGTATGTGATGGAGGTTAACATACGTCCATCTCTTCGAAAGATATTTGCTACCACGGAACTTTCTCACGAACATCCTGATACTTCTCATTCCGATCGTCTAGCAAATGAAAAGAGACAATATGAAATCCTGAAAGAAATGTGGTTGATGGTTGGCTTAGGCCTTTCCATATTTCTAGGGGGTTTTGGTATATGGTCTTTGGATAATCATTATTGCTCGACGGTTAGACGATGGAGACATGAAATTGGACTTCCCTGGGGATTATTACTCGAAGGACATGGTTGGTGGCACTTGATGACGGGTATTGGCTCATACTTTTACTTAGTCTGGGGTATTTGGCTACGACATTGTTTGAATGACCGACAAGATGAATATGTTTTGAATTGGCCACATTACTTCAGTCTTCCGGAAGTGATTACACGCCCTGAGCATAGCAAGATTTGGAACGGAAAACGGAACGGACATACGAAAGACGAGTCCAGAAAGTCGGTTTGAAAGAAGTTATTGGTGATAGTTGGTTATGATCTGGGCCAAGAATACTATACCTCTCTAATGATAATGTCAGAAT